TTCACAAGCCAGCCTCAAAGTTTGTCCTCAAACTTTAAGAATCTAGTTCAACTTGTAATTGCATAAATTAAATTGCATATAAAGTACTCATTTTTAGAACTCAACAATCCCCTTAATTGCACAACCATCATCTATGATGTTTATGAACCTCTTAATTTTCAATATAAATGAGTATTGGGTTATAAACCCGATTTTACATACCTGTAACAAAGATGCAATACACACAGATTAGGATCTGCAGCGTTCCGGCGCTTTCTTTAATAGCTTTGCCCTTTGACCAGAACATAACTTCCTCATTGCGCTAGTGTAATGCGCCCTCTACAGGCATCTTACCGAACACACTTCAGTTTATATAATAGAACACATGTATTATTGAGGTCTTTTCAAATATAAAACTAAAAGAAAGATTTTAAAAAATAATTTGGGGTGCACTATTTTTGCTTAAACATTTATAGTTTACAGTTACATTTACAGTCTGTCACACACACATACTTATATGGCTGTATATCAGCACTGGTGGGAGGTGTGCGTTGGCACGAGGCCGTAGGCTACGAGTGTGATATTGCGTTTATACAACAGTTCAACAGCACAATCCTGTATATAAATTAGAAAATCAAACACGGAGAGTCTAAAAGCCCATTTTTATTAGGAACTACTTCCGCCATTCATTCACATCTGCAGCTGACATCAAAACAGCAGAAGCCGTTACTAATTCACCAACGTCACTCTATAGCTAGTGTTTGAATGACTGTCTAAAGTGATGACAACACTGCTGATTTTTGCTCACACTTTACGATTATAAGGCTGAACATGACATGAAATGCCATCCATCTACAGAGATATCTTCTTACAGTGTTACAGTCTACAGTATTTCTCTGTTGCAATCGTGATTTCACAATAATTAACCCCTAAAATAACAATAAATTCACTACCAGACTGCTGTTGTGTTTGCGATAAGGAAAAACGCTAAACACATGCGGACTTTGCTTATTTCTATCTGCCAACACATCACACATTCCTGATATAAAAGCAAATCGGTAGAAATACAGCGCTCACACACACACATGCATTCATTCATACATACATACACAGATACTTTGTTGTGGTCTATTAACAGATTGACTCTTAATAAAGTGAAGGGGCTCTTAATAAAGTGAAGGGGCTATGACGTCAATTTGTATGCAATAACCCAGAAGCGAGTTAGCATTTTAGCAGTTCCGGTTCCCTCGTCTCAAAGTCAATAGGTTTTTTCAATGGGATTTCAGTAAAATTGCTCAAATAAGGTTCGTGGCTAACACAAACTCAAGATACTTTCACGTGTTACTCTACGACATAAAACACATCAGTAACAGCACACTCTTGATTTTTAAATCGGTTACGATTCTTTTAAAAGACAGTTGCTATCAAGTTGCTAAATGGGACTACAGGCGGTGTAGGAGGCATTATACGTCTTTGAGCTGTTCTGGGGCCTCATGTACAAAGAATTGCGTGGAAACCATACTGAAACATTGCGTACGCACAAAGCTGTAAATGTGCGTACGCAGAAAAAAATTCAGATGTATGAAACACTGTGTACGCCGAATCTCACGCATATTCTTTTGTACATCTGAATGAACGTGAAACTGAGCGCAACATGCACGAGCACAAAACCCCTCCCTGCCTCCTCCCCCGTATGAATATGCTAATGACTATGCTAATGGCAAAACCCAACGAAAAAGCAACGGCAAAAGCAAGCAAGAAGAGAAACTTTGAACAGAATGTGAATTGGAGGTGCTGCTTTCGGAGGTAGACCGGAGAAAAACGGTGTTATTTGCAAGTTTGTTCTCCGGAATTAACAACAAAAGAAAAAAATAGAGTGGGAGAGTTTAGCTGATGCGGTTAACACAGTTGGGTCTGAACATCGCACTGAGTGAATTAAAAAAGAAATAGTGTGGTTAATAGGTGTAAAATGTTGCAGTGCCCTTAACAGTCTCAGTGGTGCAGATCGTAAGACGCATGTCAACATCTTTTGACACGTTCGAGCGTGAACTCGGTTCGAATCCAGCGTTTGATGATCTCATTTTTCTTTTTTCCTCGCGCTACATATCAGATTTTGGCAACAATTTATCACGAGAAAGACAAGTAGGAATCATTAATAAGTTCATATCAATAAGCATCATATTTTATTTGCACATTTATTGAATGGAAAGTTTCTGATTCACGCATGCAAATTCATCTTCAGATAGTGTCTTTATAGCAATGTGCGTGCGGTAGATCGCTCAGATTGCATTGGGAAAACAGGCGACCGCTGCAAGTTGTGCTTTAATGTTTAGCTGGTCAACTGTATGGTATGGAAACCTTACATACCTGCTAGATGAACCCGTCTCATACAGCTGCCATTGCAAGGCTCAGACACTTTGTAGAGTGGAATTTAACAAAACTGCCTCTAGGAGTCGCCAATGGAAATAAAACAGACACGCACAAAAAATGTGCGTACGCCTGCCAGAAAGCTGGCATGGAGCTGCGCACATTCCCACGTTCAGTTCATCATTAGTAAATCTAAACGTGAGCGATTCTGAGGGTGAAACCTGGCGTACGCAAAGTTTTTGTGCGAAGGCAGCGTTGATACATGAGGCCCCTGGTCTGGAGTGCAGCTCGCTTGTGTTGGGCATTTGGATTAGTCTGTTATTTAGGTATTTTCATGAATAGTATTGTAGAGTTTGTAGTATTATTCTAATTGGGAATTCATATTGTGTGTAGATAATTCCTTTGATTCATTCAACAGATTCATTTGTTTATCATTTATTTTAATTAAACAATATTATGAAGATACTGCTTAGCAGTGCAGCCCGTCTCTTTCCTGCTCTCAGTAATGCAAACGTGTGAATAAGTGTATAAAAATACAGACTCTGTAATAACTGCAACATTTACACTCCTCCATAAAATGTATAGCAGATGTGACTGTATTAAGCTGCTTTTCGCTGTACTTTATGACAAAAAAAGAATACTGAGTGTTGTTCTGTGTCCATGATAGAATTTGCAGGCATTTGATATACTTGTTCCTCACTCCTCATTTCTGTCGTCTGTTAAGGTAAGCAGGCTGTGTGCACGCGAGCGATACACTTATTTAAATATGTCTTATGATAATACTATGTAGGCACATTTATACATACTGTAAGATGGCTAAATCTCTCCAGATTATCAGACCCTACTAACTCTTATGGATTTTCATGAGGCAAGACCATAAGTATTGCTATGCAATACTGCAATGGACTTTCTGATCTGAGAAGTGATCAGGAAACCAGCTGTTTTATTCAAATCATCCTGATTAAATCTTCCTGACTGTTTGTCTTTAAGATGAAAGATGATTTAAGTAGAAGTTGTTTTATTTTTGTAAATGCACAACACGAGTGAAGCCGTGTGTGTATGTGCTCTCCTCTCTCTTGGCTGCTCTGTCTGTTCTCCTTAAGAAAAGTGTCTCTCCAGCCCAATGACTATAATAAACAGGTGTTATTTATTAATTCTGATTGGCCTGCTGATTAGCCACCGGGCTCTGAGCATGCTCTCACCCCTTATTGGGTGTTCAATCATGCTTACCTTTTTCTTGTGTTCAGGCAGGCGATACAGCCAGGTCCTAACGACCACGCCCAGATTGGTCTAGATATGGTGCTGAATTAAATTAGTTTGACCGGGCAGGGGTGAGAACACATCAGAATACTCACGTTGAAGGTGCCGGATATCGATGAGCAAGCTAGCCGAGAGATGATTGCCCCCGGTGACCAGAGGGACCGGCCCCTGTCGGCCGGTGCTCTCTAGCCCCAGGTCATCCTCGTTTGTAACCAGCGTAGCTAGCATCACCTCCTCCGACTCCCTCCACTGCTTTAGCAGATGCTTTACAAGCCACAGGGACCAATCATTGTTTACATATTTCACTATTCTTTTGTTTGATCAAACATAATTCACTGTGTTTTGACCACGTCAGACATATAAAAGGATTACTTATGCACATCACCTTAAAAACAGAGGAGAATGGCCCTGAAGCGCACAGCATAAGGTAAGAGATGACAGCTGTCTGTGCTATTTGGGGCTGTCAATTGATCATAAATATATTGTTTTCACTTCTGCGCCATGGAAACACTGTGATTCATTCAACAACTGTTTGCTACGTGAATATTATTCAGTAAAAAGAATGCTAGAAGCGTATGAGCACCAGCAAGAGCTTTCATTTGAGCTATAACTTGTACAGGTGTCATATATGAACCATATGAAAAATATGAAAATTAACAAATGTTCAATACCCAACTCGGGTATCCAAAATACAGTGTATTTAAGTGTAAATAACTTTTGTACAGTAGGATAAAAACCAAAGTGATGCAAATGTGCATAAAATATAGATTCTACACTTTCAAACGAAATCACTTACGGGAGTCTGGTGCAATGCTAGCCCTATAAATCTTAAAGCAAAAGTCGATAGCGTCACGGACCCGGTGTCGGGTCCGCAGAGTTTGAATAAGCACAACCCTGTCAGACCATGCGCCACGGCGCAAAGTGGATTTTTCCGTCCTTATATTAGTAAAAGTGGATTCTGACATGCCCTTAATGTGTTTGCAACCTGCGATTTGCACTTTGCGCATAGATTGTCAAAATAGAGCCCTTAGAGTTATTGCTTAATAGATAATGAATTCACTATTTGATAATGCTTAGTATATGGTTCATAGTATGTAGCTATTATAAAGTGTTACCCCTCATTTACACACAGGTTTTAAGATGCAATGATTTTATAACATGCTTTATTAAATATCTTTATTATATATCAGGATTTTCCCACAGCTGGAAGAGCATCCGCTGCGTTAAACATATGCTGGATAAGTTGGCGGTACATTCTGCTGTGGCTACCTTAGATTAATAAAGGGACTAAGCCGAAAACAAAATTAATTAATGAATATGTCATGACGTTATATATATATATATATATATATATATATATATATTATATATATATACACACACACATATATATATATATATATATATATATATATATATATATTATATATATATACACACACACATATATATATATATATATATATATATATATATATATATATATATATACACACACACACATATATATATACACACATATATATATATATATATATATATATATATATATATATATATATATATATATATATATATATATATATACATTACAGATCTGTTTCAACTGTAGTCACTTTTAAATTTGTGTAAGTGACGCCTTTGTATTGGCCCTTGGTTTCGTACTGTAACACACTGCCATTCTTGCAAGTGATCTTCACTGTGCCAGTGTACGGCAGGTCAAAATTGGCTCTGCCAATGATGATGCCAACATCCATCTTCCTCTTTGGTGGGATTTCAATAGTGGTGGTCAGGGTTTCATTTTTTTCTTTCTTCTCCTCCAAACAGTAGGTGCTTGATTTACCAACAGTGAGACTGAATCCTCCAGAAATTTCTACAACGTCTGGAATCCCTGCTTTCACCTCCATATTGAATGTGGTTGAAAAGCTGCTAGTTTTAGACCATGAAGACGATGTGATCACTTTCGTTGAGGTTTCAATTTTTTGCTGTTGAGCAACTGAGGTTTTGTTCTCATAAGTGCCAGATTTAAGCTCTTCCATTACCACATTGAGTGTCGATTCCTTGATGGTAGGATAGTTGACATTGGTGAGAACTACTGACTCAGTCTCTTCAAGAAACATAAATCCCATGCAGTCGATGTCTTCACCACAGTTTCCACAAACCCCAAAGCAAAACCCAGAGCCAATCTTAATGGGATATTCTGTTTTTAAACCCCATTCTGTCATATGTGCAAAAAAATATCCATCCTTGTTGGTCTTGAATTTGATGGCCCCGAGACGTGTTCCTGCTCCGTTCCCCCAGAGAGATAGTGAGGTGAAAAGCTCTCCATCTGAAAACACATACTCTTGATGTGACCCATATGGATGTCCAAAAGTTTCATCCGAGCCATCTGACAGCCAGACCCTGACAGCCTTGATCTGCCATCCTCCCACCCAAACCCAGATCTTCTTTAAAGAGGCACCACTGATAAAACCATGGCATTCAAATTCATGTCCTCCATTACCACCAATTAGGTGCAGTAATGTTGCCATGTCTGCAGAAAGTCAATCTGAAAATTACATCACAAATTACATACACATTACATTATTGATCACATACACAAGTATGTATTTAAATCATCTTTACATTCTAAAATAGTACATTTATAGTAATGCACCAAAACTTCTAAACCAGGGCTGTCCAATTAGTGTGTCATGGGGGCCGGTTCATGAAAAGCATCCCAAATGAAGGGCCGGAAAGACATGACTTGCTATATGAGTGATAACATAACTACATATAAGAGCCCATTTGCTGCATTTGTGCTCATAAAGACACTCACGTAGGCTTTTTCTACATTAAAATGTTAATACATTGCATTTAAAAATAACTGCATTGACTTTTTTTTTTTTTTACAAACTTTCAAAATGTTGTATTTCGCACAACAAAGGCAGTACATTGCTGAAGTAGGCTTTTTCCACATTCAGACACATTCATATGTCATGTTTTGAACAGCATAACACTTAGTGATGCAGCATTATAGATTTTGGTTCTACGATTATATAGTCTGAAGAATAATCATGCTTTCATGGTTATCACATCTAATGTAAATTCAAGCTTTATATGAGGTAATATATGGTTTATATGGGTATTTAGATTAACTGTTGTTATCATCTGTGTTCATGCCTACATAATCATTTTAATAATAATTCGTCTAACATATCTTTTGTTTACATTGCACAAATGCACGCACTACTCTCACTGTGAGATGTTGTCATTCTTCCATTAGAAATAACAAACTTGCAAGCTGAAAAGGCCTGATATGGGAACGGCCGCTGCTATAGTTAATGCGTGTGTAGTAGCCTCAGTGTACATACTTGGAAATTTAAACTAGCACACAGTTAGCAACTTGCCATAACTTTTCCGTGCAATAGAAATGTGGCTTCGAGAAGCCTTTACAATTAAGTAACTGTGACGAATTAAAGCACAGTTAATAGTGAAATCAGCTAATTGTTGCATCCCTATTAATGATTACAGTGCATTGTACAAAAGGCATTTCCTACAAAACATCCAAATGTTTTAGGCTGTCCGCAAGTTCGCACTGTATTGAACAGACGCACGTCACTTCATAACTACAGCTGCCGTTTTTCGACTGAACTAAATTTGTTTTTAATGTCTTGGTCACACTATTTAGAGGGCTGAAACAAACTGCCTCCAATTGGGTTAGCAATCGAATAACCCTGTTCTAAACCAAAACTTTTGCATTCACTTGGCCAGAACCCAAAACTGAAATTGATTTGTGATCATTATTTATTATTTCATTAAATAATATAATCTTGTAAGACTTTTTAAAACTTATATGAAGTCTTACACCACACAAGAAAGCAAAGTGTAACAAGCCAAATCATTTTATGCAGTGAAACCCCACCCGATAACCCTCCCTCCGGTCTTCAGTTGGCGATCACTAACCTTCCACTCCCTTCAGTTCACAAGAAGTGAAGCCCTTGTGATGTGCAGATCGATGCTAAAATATTGATTTTTTTTATCAAAATATCAATATTTCAATCATTTGGAGCAAATATGCAGTTTATTGGAAATAGAAATACGGTGGAAAGTAACCACAATTACCCTAGTTTATCCAAATAATTTCACCTTAGTCGGAACTACTTGTTTTTCCGCCTGCCAAGTCAGGTGCGTAATATGGCACTGTACAACTGCAGAGCATGCTAGCTAGCCACTCAGTCCGCTGGCACATGTTGTTTAGACATGCTGTCATTGGATATGGGTGACCGCAAGTGAAGTTATGTTTGGAGCTACTTCACTTCCATAAACTCAAACAATGGGGTTTCTGATATGTGTAACAAAACAGTGAGGTACTGTGGTAATATCACAAACAGAAATCACAAGATAGAATATGACTACGTCATGACTAGGTGGGTTATTCTCACGAAACCAGTAAAACAACATGGCACTTAAGATTTTCAGTGTAAAACTTAGTAATTTGTTAACAAAAAAACATTATAATAAAGACAACGCTGTTCTCTACAAAACACAATGTGTAATTTCAACATAATTTATTTATTTTTAATCATTTTACTGCATTTTCTACTGAAATTCTCATTACTGAAATGTGTCCATGCATGTTTGAATGTGTGTTATGTTGTAATTTAAACAAATTAGCATAATTTTTTTTAATAAAAACAAATGAATTGTTTTAATAGATTATCTTGCAAGACAAAACAAATAGTTTTTAGAATATTCATGTATAATGACAATTAGTAAAAAATGAAAAATTAGGTGTCCGTGACACATGTTCTCATCCTCCGCAACCATTTTAAAGTGCTGTTTAAACACACATAAAGAGTTTAAATAAAGTTTAATTTTGTATTTCTCCAGTTTAATGTAAAATTTTCTCCTGCCAAAATGGTTACACAACTTTTTGATTATCATTACCGAAACGGGTCATTTTCTACATATACATAATTGTTAGAATTGCAAATTTTTATGAAAACAAACTTTTTTAAAGACTTAATTTTATCCACTGAGAATTTGTTTTAAAAATCATTATAGCTTCCCTATTATTTGCAAAACATATTGAGGCACCTCATTCTCCGCAACTCTTTTCTCATATACCGCAACCATTTAGGGACAGTTGCAGTAGAGAGAACATGTGTTTCGGGAATGAGAATTTAAGTAAAATTGCATACTAGATTCAAATAACTCTTTTGAATTTAATGTTAATTTTAAAATGTACTAACTGTTTATATTTTGCTTTTATTTGTTTCATTTTAAACAGTCAGCAATGAAAAAAAATAAAATCTTTTGCAAAAGCCAGGTTGGAAGAAATTGTACAGCAACCCAGAACTACTTGAGGAGTATAGAAGGAAAGAAAGAGAGAGGTTAGATTTGGAGATGGCATAGCAGGTGTAATTACTAAAAGAAACGCTCTACATTGTTAGGGAATCGAATCATTTAAGTTAATAATTTATTTTTGTACACGCAGTGTACAAATCCGCATACACACACACAAACATAGGCCCTATTATACACCTGGCGCAATGTGGAGCAAGGCGCAACGCAATTGCTGTTTGCTAGTTTCAGCTTGGTGCAAGAGTTGTTTTGAGGTTTTGCGCCACGCTGTTTAAATAGCAAATGCATTTGAGCTCATATGTGCGCCCATAGGCGTTATACTCTAAAAAGGCGTGCTGAGGAGCATTGCTGGCGCGGTGCTATTTTGAGAAACTATAATAGATCTTTCAATAGACCAGAACATAGTAAATTGTAAAATATTACAAAACATTTTAGATTTTAGATTTAGATAATGTTCTAGCCTACATAAATATAAAAACCCTACTTTCATGCCTTCTTCATCTCGGGAGGCTTTTTCAGTTCATTCATAACAATTTGCGTTTGTATAATGTTATCATTAGCAGTATTATTATCATCTACATATTTATATTTGTTTTATTAAAAACAAGTTTGGATTTGCCCACCTGTCAGGTTTTAGACCATATGGGGCACAGAATGTGTATTAGGATATAACTCAGGTTTTTGAGCACACTTCATTATTATTGTTCATTTATTCGTTTGCTGGAAATTAAAACTGAATTTAGAAATAGTTTTGAAACAAATCTTTTCGCTTAACAAACAAAATTAATTATTTACAGGCTAATTGACGTCTGTGCATAAAAGGTTTCCCTATTAGATCATGCATTACAACGCAAAGCGGATTTTTCCATCCTTATATTAGCAAAAGTGGATTCTGACACGCCCTGAATGCGTTTGCGCCCTGCGCTTTGCATTTTGCGCATGGATCGTCAAAATAGAGCCCCGAGTGAGAAAGAGAAAATAACCAAATATGTCAAATATGAACATTTATAAAATAATTTGTTTGCAAAAATACTAATTCACCATGATTCCGCTAAGTGGGAAAAACAAACACACTGCATCATACAAAATGTTAAGCCTTTTGTTTAGTCTCTTCATAGCCATATGTAGTTTTTACGGTAATCAAAATACAAAACTTTACACCTCAAATCACTTTGTCAAACAACAAATAACGAAACCTTGTCAGAAAGAAGTATGTTAGCTTCTCTAGAGAGGAATTCCCAAGCAGCATTGTAGAGATAGTATTACAAGAACCTAGTGTTTGCACCATGTCATTGCATGACCAGAGGGTGCTAATCTTCTTTTTAAATTTGTTTTTAACTGGCAGTCTTTACCTTACCTGGAAATACCAAGTGTACCTGTCTGTGGATTGCAAGACAGGCGTAACATGAAGGTGGGTAACTTGTAGTGAGTTAGAGAGGCGCAATTTGCAGTAATCGAGATCCCATTGAAACATGTGAGATGTCACAACGAGATGTTGGCAAGATGGTGGAAATACTTACAAGAGATCATTTTCACCAAAGTTTTCTCCAAATTTATCCACACCCAATTAATTTCATATATCATTATATTCATTCATTTAGCAATTCGCTTACGACTTTGAGCACATCAAGTATGAAGTATACGGTTTTGTTTAGGGTTGTGGTTGGTATAGGCGTTAATTACTAAGATGCTTGGGTTTAGGTGTGGAGTAGGTGTAGATGTTAATAACTGATGGGTACATCACCATCATGCCGACATCATAGAGTGACAAGTGAGTTTCCATGACTTTAAATTCAGCCTCTACTACAAGTTATGCCCCCTTCATGTTATGCCCCTGTCTTGCAGTCTGCAGACAGACCCTACTCGGAAATAAAGCACTAATTTAAACTTAAGTAAAAATAAAAATTACAAAAATTCCATTGTTTTCAATAGGGGAAATGTATGTTAATTGACTGCATAAATATACATTTTTATCACAATCCCCCCAAACAAAATTCTAAATAATAAAAATATTACAGTGTTTCCTCTAGGATTTTTTCCAGCTGTGGCGGCAGGCCTTTTACACAGATCTACCAACAACCTGTAGCGTTATTTCAATGACAAATGTAGTAAGCGCAGTATTACAAGTCGAGATCACATTTATGTAATAGCCTACAGCATGGGGATCTCTTTGCTTGCACGCCGATTCCCTCTGCTCGTGCACAAAACTTCTTGCACACCCCCACAAATATTAGCCACTTCAAGAGCGTGCAGATCTTCTTGTGCGCTCTCAAATAAATGCTGCTGAAGAGCGATTTAGTGTGTTTATGTCTCCAGCATTTATTAGATTTGCTAGGAATATTTATGAATGTCTCTAATAGACCTACAGAGCGATATTAATGTGTCCTGAAGTAAAATGAAACGGCTATACGTCGTGTTTGCTGGCCTCACGCATCATGCAACTGTCAGTCAGACAGTCAGCACATAACCTTAAGGGTTAAACAAATTATGCACAGCACTACTACGGTTATAAAAAAGTTTGCACTGTTATAATTCACTTACCTTTTAGTACGTTTTGGTGCGAGTATCACCCGCTATTAAAAAAATTAAATGTTTTGAATGAGAAGCTGTAATGTAGTCGTGGCGGGATGAATTTTGGTGTGGCGTCCCATTATGGAAGAATAAATGTAGCGGAAACCATGTATTATATAAATATGATTGCTAAATCATTTTAGCTAAATATGCTAAGCTAAAAACTGTGGGTACTTTAGTTGTTCATCGCTTTTTGACTGGCTAAGCCCACCAATTTGATTCCTAAATAAGGGACACCCGAGGGTTAAAGCTGTACTAGAGACCACACTATCTAGTGAGGATGATGATTTATTTCAGCTTATCCAAGCGAATGGACATTTTTCTTTAAAATTAAAGCTATGTTTTAAAGCACTAATAATAAAGCAAATTTGAAATTCAGTGTTGTTTTTTCTACATTAAATGTTTAACAAAATCTAATGATATACTTAAAATCAATGTTGAAATGATTGACCTAAATTCTGTGACCTATTTATCATTACCGCAACCAATGTTCCTAAAGTGATATTTTATTAATATTTTTTAATTGTTTGCTTTTCAATGCATGTGCATAATCTACAAATTATGTCCTTTCAGGTTAGCCACATTATTTTGAAAACACATCAGGTTTTATCAAAATACATTTAAAAAACTGTTGTCAGTTGTGTACAGTGTTTCGGTAATGAGAAATAACAATAAAAATAAAAAACCCTGTTAATTTAAAAATAATGTTATTTTTAGAATCTAAAATAATTTCACATCACTGTTAATAATCCCTTTTTTTAAAAAATGTCAAAATAAATGAGCTTTTTTGTAAGAATCAATTTAGCAGACTGTTGCGGTAATGAGATTTTTTAATACTTGTTTTGGAAATTATGCTCAAAAAGGTGATGTGTGATGTGTATATATTTTTAAATTAATGTTGACAAATGCTCCAGACTTTGTTTCAATTATCTGCAAAATCAAAATTTAATTTAAAAATGTTTTAAAAATTCATGTTTGAAAATTTTTAAACTACGTTTTCATCAGAAAAGGAGGAAAGGCGGCGTTTAAGGATATACATGCTCAGATTCTGTCAGTAATTATGTAAGTTGCCTCTTTTTTTGTATGATAATCCTTCATCAATAAACAATAACCAAGAATAATCCACAATATGTCTCATATTCAGTATAAAGTGATACTTTTAAGTACACTACTTGCTACTTTAATTTCCCAAACAATAAATTTTGGGCAGTATCGTATTGGTAAACTCACCTTCATGCTACTTGGTAGCGGATCAGAAACCAGTGTCATCACACATCACTAGGGAAAAGTGAATGATGTTCGACTGAGTTGCTGCTGCTTAAATAGAGCAATAGTGTTTTGAAAACACATCTAAATTCCTGAGTCAGCATTGGCAGAAACCCCATTTGGCTGTAGTGGTCGAGCGGGGGACAGGCCCATGCAGGAATTTGGCATTAGAAGGATTAGTCTGGTGACTAATTTGATCTGCAGCCTGCTTTTGATTGGTGGAACAAAAAGTGATCTTTCAAGTTTAGCTTTTAGTTAATTCTATAAATTGTATTTGATACCATTTTCATTAAATACAGAGTGATGTTGCTTGATTCCTATTAAGAATAGGCAATAACATTGCATTAGGATCCAGCTGCTCTAATTAGTTGGCTTGTGCCTCATCTGCTTGCCCACTGATGGCATCACTGCCCAATATTTAATGAAATAACAATACCACCGAATGAAACTACACAACGGGTTGACAGTAAAATGAAATATTTTTCATTATATGTTTGAATAACACATAAAACTGATCAGAGGAAAAGAAGCAGTGAAAACCTTATCAAAGATTAACCAACTGATAGTGATTTCAACTGTTTGTACTATGATATCACTGTATCGGCCCTTGGTTTATATTATAATTCACAGCCATTGTTGCAAGTGTTCTTTACAGTGCCAGTGTACATCTTGTCAAAACAGTAAGATTGGCACCCAGTGGTTGAACTAGGTATTGCAGTTAAGATTCACCACAGGTACTAATTATGTGCAGTTTCTAGTGTTAAATATTTGCATTGTAAGTTTGAATATAATTTTAAGTGACAATAATTGTCATATTAGGCATCCCGGTGACACAGTGGGTAGCACAATTATCTCACAGTAAGATGGTTGCTGGTTCGATTCTCGGCTGGTTCAGTTGACATTTCTCTGTGGAGTTTGTATGTTCTCGCTGTGTTCGCATGGGTTTTCTCCGGGTGCTCCGGTTTTACCAACAGTCAAAAGATATGCGCTATAGGTGAATTGAATAAGCTAAATTGGCCGTAGAGTATGTGTGTGAATGCAAGAATGTATGGGTATTTTCCAGGGTTGGTTTGTATGCTATTCATAAGTTGGCAGTTCATGGTGCGAACACTGATTAATAAAGGGACTAAGCTGAAAAGAAATAAATTAATGAATATATGTATATATATCTATATATATACCGCCAGAGCTGCCAGAGTCACTGCCACTTCCAGAGCCACTGCCACCAGTACTGCCAGATCCTCAGTCACTGCCAGAGCTGCCAGATCCTGCAGAGCTGCCAGAAGCACCAGAGTCGACGCCGCTGCCTCTGCCAGAGCAGCCAGAGTCGATGCCGCCAGAGCTGCCAGAGCTACTGCTGCCTGAGTCTCACGAAGGGTCCCAGACCATGACTAAGCCCCAAGAGATAACCCACACACAAAGGCGGGGACTTAAGAGAAAGGCCTCTTCAGCGATGGTCTCTCCAGTCCCAGAACATCCTCCAGTGTCAGTCCCAGAGCTCAGCTCAGTGTTGGTCCCAGCCCAACTCCTTGGCCTGCCAGCACCACCCAGACGTCTCGACCTGCCGGCGCCCCCTAGACGTCTCGCCTTGCCGGCGCCACCCAGACGGCTCGCCCTGCCGGCTCCCCACAAGCCTCCAGCTCTGCCAGCTCCCCGCAAAGCTCCAGGCCCTCCACAGTTCCACGCTCCAGGGCCTCCGCAGTTCCATGCTCCAGGCCCACCGCAGTTCCACTTTCCAGGCCTTCTGCAGCTCCATGCTCTAGGCCCTCTGCAGTTCCATTCTCCAGGCCCTATACAGTTCCACTCTCCAGGCCTTCCGCAGCTCCACCGTCCAGGCCCTCCGCAGCTCCACGCTCCAGGCCCTCCGCAGTTCCACGCTCCAGGCCTTACGCAACTCCATGCTCCAGGCCCTCTGCAGTTCCAGTCTCCAGGCCCTATACAGTTCCACTCTCCAGGCCTTTCGCAGCTCCACCGTCCAGGCCCTCCGCAGCTCCACTCTCCAGGCCCTCCGCACCTCCACTCTCCGGGCCCTCCGCACCTCCACTCTCCGGGCCCTTCGCAGCTCCACTCTCTGGGCCCTCCACAGCTCTATGCTCCGGGTCCTCCTCAGCTCTATGCTCCGGGTCCTCCGTAGCGCCACGCCACAGGTCGCCCCAGCTACATAATCCTGGCCCTCCATCCCTCCCCCTGTTCCGCCTCCGCTCAACCTCCCACCGGAACATTATTAGGAGCGTCTGGAAGCCACTCCTTAAAGGGGGGTTCTGTCACAATCACCAGCGATCACTACTCCATAGATCACTTGATCTCTCTCACAATATCTCAGGGACTACAATTTTGCCATTTCTGGACTACATATGCATACACGCACTTCGCCCTGACACACATTCTTCCTTATCTAAACTGATTACATTCACACCACCTGAGGATTGTCAGAGACTGATTGCACACACTATTTAAGCCACAAACTCACCCATTCAGTTTGCAGAGTCTTGTTTACTGTGAGTAGCACTACAACGCGTTTCCTAGTCTTGTTATCCTGTGTACCGACCTTAGCCTTGTTAGCCTCCCTGTCTTAGTCTGTTGCCTGCCTTACGACCTCTTGCATGTTACTTCGACTACGATTCTGAATTGTCCTCACACACCTGTTTGCACCCATATTGACCATTGCTTGCCTGACTAAAATTACACCTGCTTTTGGATCCAAACTCCAGTTGTATGTGTCACTCCCCGTGGTTACAGTGCCATTTGAATTTCCAAACAATCAATGGCGATAAATAGAAAAAAATAATTTCCATGTTGAATTCTAAGTGGACAACAACAACAAAAAATCCAAAATAATGGCATTGCAGATATGGAAATTGAAAAAATATATAATAATAAAGTAATGAATACGAACAATTGTACTCATTGAAAAAAATTGTATTGCTGAGAGCTGAGAACATTATTAAAGTAGAAACAATTTTGCGTAGTCCTCCTTCACAATCAGCCCGTTGCTAAGACAGTCTAGTCTGTTGACATTATCAGGGGATGATGTGGCACACACAGCTTCACCTGTTTTGTTCCGAATAATAAAAAATAAACTTCTGCTTACCTTTTATCGCCGACCCTGTCTTTTTCTTCTAATACTGCAAACAAACTTTGCTACAGTGGTGGTGAAACCCGGGAAGGACAAGAAGCCTCACTGCCAGAATGAGTACTCCATCAAGGCTGCCATTTACGGAAGCCATCCAGGCCCTTGTAGTTCTCCACCAACAAAAACATGACGCGCTGGTGGAACTGAAGAAAGCACAGGAACAACCTTTCCAAAGTTTCATGGAGGCCCAGCGGGAGGACCGCAAGCGAATCCAGAGTCTGCTGACCCAGGAGATCCAGCCCGCTCCAACATCTGCCACCCACCCATTACCTTTTTTTAAAATGACATTGCAGAATGACTCAAAAGCATTCCTGGGTCTCTTTCAGAAGATGGTGGAGGTGTGTGGCTGGACGCAGGCCGAGTGGTCGGTAAAGGTCATCCTGCTGTTGTCGGGTGAAGCCTAACTCACCGCACAGCATTTACCAACCCAAAATCTCCTGGAGTATGACGACCTGAAGCGAGCTATTCTCCAGCAGGCCGGTCCCAATCAGGAGGAGCAACACCAGCTCTTCTGTTTGATGGAACAGAAAGAAAGCGGTCAACCCTTAGTGCAGATGGCTGCTACAGGATGGCCTGTAGGATCGCCCAGATAATGGAAACTGTGGTGCTGGAGTTTATCGACTGCCTTCCCTCCCAAATGTCGGAGTGGATCCAATGCCACCAGTCTGAGGATCTGTAGACGGCCATCCGGCTGGCGGAGGATCACCTGGTGGCAAGGTCCAGGGTCAGTGAAATAACCTCTTGTTCTTCTCCCCCTCTTCTTTCCCCATCCTGTTCCCAGAGTGCAGAGACCGCCCACACCAGCACCCAGACAGCGGTGCTCTGAAGCAGATCCACAGCAGATCCCGCTGAAGGTAGGGCGCTTATCAGGACAGAGGGTTGGAGCTTGAACCCCAGGCTGCTTCTCAGACAACACCATGTACACGGTGATGTAATCCACTACCTGCTAATGGCTGTAGGTATTCAATTCAGGGGTAAAAAGCATAGTGTCAAAGTAACGGTTAGCCCACGCTTCAAACACCCACTAATTCTGGGAACCAATTGACCTGGATTAAATAGATTATTAGGGGTCTTATGTGCAGTTGTCTCTTGGGAAAAGAAATTGCCAGACAGGGGGCAGGTTGCTCAGGTGGAAATATCCCAAGCTGACATCACGCGCTTACTCACCCCTGCTGGGTTGTACTAACTTGATTCAGCATCATATTGAGACCAAACCAGGTGTGGTCATTTGGACCCAGCCATTTCACCTGCCTGAACACAAGAAAAAATTAAGAATTGAGTAATAGGCTGAAATTGATATGGTAGAAAAGTCACAGAGTGATTGGGCCAGCTCGATAGTCTTAGTTCCTAAGTTCCTAAGACAGTTCTTAGTTCCTAAGACAGATGGCTCAGTCTAGTTCTGTGTTGACTATAGAATAGTCAACACTGTATCGAAATTCAACGTATATACAATGCCACATTTGACGAGTTGCTCAACCGGTTAGGTGCTGCTCGATATTATTCGACGTTGGATTTGACTAAGGGATATTGGCAGATTATAGGCGTTTTGTTGCTAATCATTCGGGCCTCGTCAGCTCATTGACTGATCTCACTAAAAAGGAGGGGACGGGATACCTTCCAATGGTCAGAGCAGTGACAACAGGTTTTCACCAAGGTAAAATCTATACTTTGCGGGGGGGTCGCTTTTGCACGCTTCTGACTTTTCCCTCGCCAAACTCAGCAAGCATGAAACTAAGTATAGCACTCTGTGCTCCTCTCCAGTGGCTCGATGCATAAAAGATACCAACTATTAGAAAAAAAAAACTACTTACCTTATATCCCCAACATTCTCTTCGTCCCATCCTACAAACAAACTTTGCTACAATGATTGAGATTGAGTCTAC